TTACCGATGAACTGTCTTCCACCTACTTGTGTCCGGCATGATCTGGAGAGAAATTTATTAATAAAGTTAGTATTTTACTATGTCTCTCACTTGGCAAGGTTCAACACTAACCATAGCCAACTCGCCAGACTAGTAGAAATTCAGTTTTGGCTAGTGGTTTTTTATTTCCACTAGCCAGTTTGGCAAGTACACAAACTAAAATTGCTTGAACATCTAAGTTGTCCCTAGGTCACTTGGCTAGCAGGTTGAAAAGTTAGTGTCAAGCCCTGACTTGGTATTTTCTATTTGAGCTTGAATACAAGACTCACAGAACATGTCAAAGTTTGACCTGCCTTTAGCTTGCATTCAGATTTTTAACAAACTATGATTAAGGTGGAAACTTCACATTAGCAGCATTCTCCTTTTCAGGCGGCAACTGGTAAAATTTCCTGCATGTACCTACCAAAGGATTTACATGTAGGCACTAACTGCCTACATGTAAATCCTTTGGTATCCTTAAAAATTTAACAGCTGATTGGACTGAGTGTAGTGTAGTTTGGGGTAAAAGTATGTTTTCTGGGGCCCGTTTCTCAAAAGTTCCAGTAACTTAACAGGCCCAAAGCCATGTTTACAATAAAAATTTAAAGGATAGGAAAGCAGGTTCTGGCAGCGAAACCAGTCCTTTTTGTTTGATTAGTTGATAGTTTTATTGAATCATTTTCAAAACTTTTGAAATCCCTATCTTGAATAAAAACAGAACAGCTTTATAGGGCCATTAAGTTACCGTGACTTTCAAGAAACGGGCCCCAGAACAGAATAGCAGAACATGAAGCTCAATTGCTTTTTATTAAATTTCATTTTGAAATCTCACAATTCCAATATCTAGATGCAGTCTTTGGAGTTAAAGCCAGTTTTGCATTGATCAAGTCACAAAAAAAGAAATGTACAATTCAAGGATAAATCACACAATTGAGACCCAACGTTTTGCAAGGCTTTCACACTGATGTTCTAGACATATAATTAACCCAGGAAATTTTGAGTAGTTGGAATGTTGGCATTGGTAAGAAGGCTTCTAATGTTTTAATGCAGTAGATTATCAACTAGGTGTTATTTTTGGGGTGAAAACAAGTACTAACAGTATCTTGATAATTGTAGTACCCTTAGTGAAGGTAAGATGTGAAAAGTCCAATTTTAACCAGCACCCTCCCCTCTCTTCGTGCAAAGAATGTCAATGTCAGATGCAACTGTGACAAAATCAAACACAGGCCCCTGTTGTTCGAAGGATGGATAACCCTATACACTGGATAAATTCCTATCCGCTGGATAGCCCAGTACGTTTTGGTAACACTTATCTGCTGGATAGCAATTTATCCGTTGGTTAGTGTTATCCGCCCTTTGAACAACCAGAGCCAGATCTTTAGAGATGCTCTCAAGAAAGTTCCCCTTGTGTACCAATTGTGCATCACAGTAACTAAAATCTACCCAGGGCAGGTTCATTCTTTGGAAGCTTACCCAACTGGCGAGTTAGAGAGAGGATGAAAATTAGTGAAACTAAAAATTCAAATTTGAGATTTCCAAGTTATGAATATGATTAAGCAGCTGACAACACTCTAAATCAACGATATCATAAACTTGTGTTGATTGTTGAGATTGAGTTTTACAACTTAAGCACACCAAAACGGGTGGAGTTTCTAGTCAACCTTATGAAAAACCTTCCCAAGCTAAACAAGGCTGAAGTTTTTCTCTGTTTCGGTTTTCATACTTTAAATACATTACTTTACCGCACGTAAACAAAAATTTAGCAGAGGCGATGTACCCTTCAAAATTTGACTGATACAAAGATATCTACAAATGAAAAAAAAAACATGTGAATGGCACCGAATTTATGTAGCAGCACAACCAAGCAACCAGGCCAAAATAAGTGCACATAGGGTTTTCTAAAAAAAAATGCTATTACGTTAGAATTTGAAGCTCAAATTGTGTTTGAATATTTCGCTTTGATGGTGCTATTCTGCAGCACATGATTGCTAGAAAAAAACGGCACAAATCTGCCCAGAAAATCGGAATCTCAGAAGAATTAAATATAAAACATACAATACCTTAGTTATCCAAGCTTTTTGTTCTTTGTGCGAGAAGGTTAATGGCAATAAATTGGATGGAATGTGATGAAAGCTAGATTAACAATCAACTTTTCCTACCCTACAGACCCACAATTCCTCGTCGACTAAGTTATCGTTCGTGGGAGACCTGGTAATTAGAGATGTTTCAATGACTCTTACACAACCTTCATTACGTGGCAAAACAAAGATGGCGGATAGACGCTAAGATCAGCAAATTTCGCCAGGTGTTTATGGAGTTACTGCAATGAAAAATGTTCCACGTGGAAAGAAGTGACCCATTGCTTTTGAAATGACAACATGTCTTGATTTAGACTTAGAGTCTTTCTTTCATGGATCGCATTCTTGAGCCATTCAGAAGGATAATTTCCTTCTTATTTGGTAGAGGACAGCTGATTAATTCGAATTCCACGAGGGTGAAAGTAATTGTTCTTGATTATGATTTTGTGATATATGTTTACTTTCTCTCTTTAATCGATAAGTTTAAGATGTTGTTTATTATGCTGGTCTGTGCTGTCAAGACCTCCGGCCGATATCCTCCCAGTACGGCCCTCGCGCTTGGTTAATAAGATATATTTATCATTCTTATGTTTATTAAAAATAATGAAAAGACGAGGAGTCCAGTTACTCCCCTCAAAAGAGTGCCTGTGTGCTTATCCATTGCAAGGTTGTGTCCAGCATTTCATTTGACTTCCCAGACAGTTCATGCCTGACCATTCATCTGCAATATCATCATCTTAGTCACCATCATCATTGTTGTTATCCTTACGGTCACCATCATCTTCACAACAGTAGAATCAATCATGATTCTCCCCTTTATTGTCTGGTTGACTGTATCTGGCAACATCTCCTGCTTGATTTCCTTCAGTCGATCAGCATTCAATCATTCAATATGTTTTTTTTTTCCTCCAAGGTAAACAGATTCATTCAATTCCAATTCAGCTTTGCTCCTTCTCAAATCTTAAAAAAATTGTTTTGAGTGGGAATCAACTGACTGATATTCCATGGTCAGTGATTTACCTTAGACAACTTTGTGAGCTTGATTTATCATTTAATGCCTTGGTAAGTACCTATCTGAAATAATTGTTATAATTTACTAATCAGCTACTCATTGATTGCAGTACCTAATATCAAATTAATATTTAAAATTTTTTTGGAAAACATTCAATATATTCTAAAGGCAGGCATCAATGATGGTGTCCTCTGTTGATATTTTGTCTCCTTTTTGGTTGTTGGTTGATTTTTGTAACAAGTTCTAACAATTCAATCAACAACATGATTGGTTCGCTGTGTACCATGTTGAATGGACAGAAGAGAAAAACTGCCGACATCTGCCTTGATTACCGATGAACTGTCTTCCACCTACTTGTGTCCTCATATATGCCTACTTCCAAAATTAATGAAATCCCTGTTCACCATAATTTATAGTCAGTTGGGGTACTAGCATTGATTGAAAAGAAAAGGAAAAATGGGTCAAGTGTGCAACCACCCCTTCCCTAACCTAAGATTCACCCTAACCTGTTGTCAGTTGACTGTTGTATGGTTTAAGAGAGGGGTAAGTATGCAGTTGTTCAGACGCTAATGTTGGTAAGCAAAAAATGTTAGTGGCTGTGATATGATAAAATGTTTATTGACTGTATGTGTCAGATAAGGCTGGACGGGAAGATAATTTGTGCGTGTTCATAGCATGTAGACCCCATTGCATGTGGTTCATACATCATATTTTTCAGTCGAGCCATTCTACTTGGTCAATAAATACATGCTATTATATAGATGACAGCACCTGTGAGCAATCTGATACAAATCCTGAGTTCTGATTGAAGCGAAATCATTTTGCTATATAATAAATCCTTTATTGACCAAGTTTGTTTGGTCAAGATGGCTAGATTTTAGCCTCATTCTTCTTTGGCATTTTTATAGACCTCGACTTCATCTTGGTCCATAAAAATGCAAAAAAAACGAACATAGTCAATAATGCATATATATATTTTATTCACCCACCTGCTGGGTAATGTATTCAACTTATATGTTTGTTACTTCTAAAAGTCAAAGGGCTTTTGTTTCTCTCTCTTCTCTAGGAAAGTTTTCCAAGAATCATTGCACATATTCCAACTCTGGAAGTTCTTTCTGTCAGGTACTTACGAAAAGGGCAGAGGTTGACAGTTAGTAACCAGCCTTTATAAATACTCCTGTGTTCACTTTGCTAAGTCGTAACAATCAATCTTTGATTTGTTTCCTAATTGCAGGGGCAACTTTATTACTTATTTACCAACAGAGCTTCTCAACTTACAGAGTCTAACACATCTCGATGTTCAAGAGAATCCTTTAACATCACCTCCACCAGAAATCGTAGAACAAGGGTTACAATCCATTTTAGATTATTTAAAAAGGAGAAAAGGCAGGAAAAACTTATTTTGCAACTTCAAACCATGGTTTTGTGAGGACAAAAGCCCTGTTATTTTTGAAGTGTCTACGTTATTTGAACTCTCCATCAAGTAAGTATCGCTTCGTCTTGTCTAAGAATTTGAACACATTTCTGTTCTATTGTAACCGTTTGAACCAAAAAGTGATTGGTGACTAATTTCAGGCGATCTTTACCCAACCCAACCCAAACCCACTGGTTTTTTTCTTTCTTTTTTTTTTTTTTCACTCTGACGCTGCTATTTTTTTTTTCACTCTGACGCTTCGTTTACGTTCAATCGTTTTGTACCCAGCCGTTTCCTACCCAGCTAGGTCGATTCGTACCCAGTCAGTTGAGTGGTTTCGTACCCATACTAATGAAGTATGATTTCCTTGTTAAGTATTTATTTTGTTTAGTATTTAATCTAGTTAAGTAAGAATATAATCAACTAATAAACGAATTTATTACCGTTAATAACAAAGGGAGAAATATTATCAATCTTACACCAGCTGTTCACAAGTATAAACAATAGACTGTTCTTTTAAAAATACCACACTTAACCTTCACGGCGTTCGGTGATGAGTGAGTGTCTTTATTAAAAAGGTCACAACAGGCACGTAACAGAAGTTTGCTCGTATCTTACTCACTTGACTCTACTATCTTGTCGTACACAACAATCGACATGAGGTATTTGGAATTAATGTTTGAGTACTATGGATGAGTGGGTATGAATCTACAAGCGGTTCGGGTACGAAACGACTCAAACTGGGTACGTTAGCCCTTCGTCAGAGCGAACCCATACCAATAATACTGACGAAGAGCTAACGCTCGAAAACGTCAGCTTTTTAACTCTTTACGGTGGCCAATTTACAATTTCAGCTTAATTGATAAAACCAAATTACCTTGTTACCCCCACCGACGCAGCACCACAGTTTCTTTAGAAACTTACCTCATTTATAAACTGGGTATGAATCGACCTAATTTGGGTACAAATCGACTGGGGTACGAAACTACCGTCGGTACGAAATGAGTGGATACGAAACGAGTGGGTTCGAAACGACTGTCGGTACGAAACGAGTGGATATCGCCCTCGCAAGTCTCTAACGAATTGATGACTGTTTACACTTCCAGGTGTATTCTTGACTGTCATATCGACTTTCTTAGTGCGGGTCACATACCACCACGACTGAAATCAAATCTTGAAGAAGACAGAAAGCAGGAACAAAGCTCTATTTTTATATGCAAGTGCAACGTGTGTAAGAAGTATTTCTCCAATAAGTTACAATTTGAAATCCACGACTGCTCGCCGGTTCAATGGCAAGCGATATCACTCTCGAACTAGCTGGTTACGTTACCTTAGTTTCGTAAACATAAAGTCATTATATTGCGAATAAATTTCCAGGTAGATAGGTGGGAAATAAAAGAGGAGCCATTTTGTTTAATAGCAGAGCAGCTGTTTGACCCTAAAAGATATGACGGCACTGCCTAAATTACAATGATATCTATCAGGGCATGAATAGCCTGCGAGAAGGCCCTTATTAGCAGCGCGTCAGGGTGGGCATTTCATCACCTGCGATAATCTTTTAGCTTTGAGCAACGTGAGCTGGTGAGAGGTCTGTAAGTGCTCTGGCACTGATGACATAAAGTGCCAGACCCCCAGCAAACCACTACCTTACTCGACTTAACTCTTCCCGCAGGTGGAGAAACGCACTTACAGCGCTAAGGAAAATAGGCCGCTCGCACGCTAGCCCATGAAAATTGTTTTGTCGTGATACTGGGAGCCGCGCAAAATACGCCAGAGAGATTTGAAAACAGCTTTGTCATTTCAGTTTCTGTATAATATTTTACGCGGGAAATTGGCGCGCGGCAACACAGAAGTCACACATTGGGCATGCACGAGAGGATCCATTTTACCCGGCAGCGCGCTCAATCGTAATGTGTTACGAAGCGCGAACAAACTTACATATCAACACCTTGTGTACTCATGGCTCAAAGATACTTAATTAAAAAGTTGAATATTTTCTTTACTCTTAGAGATTGTGTCTGTTAACGACGTCAGTGAAAGTTTCCATCGGCTATACTGATGCCGAGTGTACTGTTTTTGTATGGTTCACCAATCTATCTGACCTGGGAACACTTTGACCCTGCACAAATCAACAAATGAAAATAGCTGAGGTAGTTGAAGAAATATCATTTATTCTTTTATAAGCTTAAAGTAGACCGCTGAACAGGTGCGCTCATTTCCGTTTTCAGGCGAGAGATTCGGCAAGCGCGAGACGAACGCGATGGGTGTGTAAAACAAGCAGAGGGGTAGTCCTTCCCTTGGCCGTAAACAGCGCTTGCCATTATATTAAGAATAAGCTATGTTTACAGTCGGTATCTTACTCAAAACAGTCACGTGTCAGTATTTGTGTGACTCCGTCCCGCCATGTCCGAATCCTCCTGGACCGAACTCTGAAGCGTAACAAGGGTTATGACAGTATGGCTGGCCCTTGCGCTGAAAAGCAAAATGCACGGTTACCACTCGGAGAAGATCAAGCGAATATATTAAATCCTTCACGGACCTTAGCTCAAAGGCACTCTCTCCAGCTTAAATTATTTTTAGACCAAAGATTAACCTCGCTTTCAGGGTCTCTCTTCTTCCTGTTCACCCTCCCCTCCCTGCAGCGGGAAGGGGGGGAGAGCGACCCTGGAGACAAGTATAACTTGAGGTGTCTGATATTAGGGACTAACACGCGACATCGACTTCACCACAGGCAGGGAAGCTTGGGGAAGAGGAGGCTTAAGTTCTCCTAGACGAAAATTCCCTACCCTTCGGAAAATGTCGCCAGTTACCTTAAATGATTATCAATCTCCCTTAGGCACTTAACTTTTTTAATGTAAATACCCTCAATACTTTCTTATTTAGCACCTCTTTACGATCGTAAGAATTTTCCAATGGTGCAGTTCACTATCTCTGTTCATTTTGTATATGAGCAATGGAGTCTCATTGTTTCCTGATAAAACGAGAAGTCTCCAAGCCGCAACTCTGAAGGCTCGCTTCCTTCGATGGCTGACTTTTCTATAAAAATTCATGTTGACTCACCCCAGGTATAGGTAACATGATTAAAAAAAATGTGAATTTTTTTAGGTGAGGTTTGCCACCTTTAGCTTAATTATAGGTAAATTAGTTCAAGTCACGATATCCGATATTATATATAAACAAAAGCGAACTTTCAGATATTTTTTGTATTGAATAGTGCATCAAATCGGAATCGTAGCTTTTCAAAGCAAAAAGTGCCTTAAATAGTGGGGAAAAGTGCAGTAACCCAACAGACCTCGGCGTGACTTCCTCTCGCAAGCTGTCTGCCACATTTCTTGCATTTCAGACACAAAGGATGATACCAATTTCCGAGCGACTCTTTTTTTTCGCCTGTCAAAGAAATGGTAGATGTGGATATGAGATCGTGGCCATATAAAAACAAAATTTTCGATTTTTTTTTTTTCCATTAACAAAAAACGTTCTAAGAACGTTTTTCATTTAGCGCCAGAAGCATTGATAAAAATCAAACGTGACGAAGAATTCTCTAGCTTTGATCATTCGTTCACATAGCGTATGCAAAATACCATTCAGGAAGAGCCGCGTCAAAGTCAAAACAGATCCCAAATTTTCAAATGATCGACTGAAAGTTGAAAGTATATATACCCATGTAGACGGTCTTGTCGCAAGTTGGACACTTCCGCGACATGGTCCAGAAAGATTCTTGTTCGTTCTAAAAGCAGATTTAAGATGCTTTCTTCCTGGTTGTAAAATCAAGATCGCTTGGCATTTTCCCAACACGCACCTGCCTGTTGTTACGGTCAATTTGAATACAAATTGCATATATTTTCGCCGTGTGATCACCTTTTTCATCCAATAAGAATGCGAGTGGGTAACGCGTCCAACACGAGGGGAACGAGAAGGAAAATACGAGATAGATAAATTTTGAATGAGCATCATAATTTAGCTATTTGGTTTATACACCTAACTTGTCTCGTTCTGGATAATAAAATATATAGTTTTCCCATGCAGTAGACTGTCCCTCCTTTTCGGCGAAATCCGTCGCGCGAGTAAAACAAAAATTCAGCTGAAAAGAAAATGATGTTAGTGCTAACATCAATCTTTTTTTCGCTGAGTTTTTTTACTCGCGCGACGAGGAAATTGCTCGTAGTCTACTTGCCCAGGGCCTTTTTTCAAGAAAATTTTTATGGACAAGTTATGTTGAATACGAGCTTGCAAGATTTTTACAACGAACCTTTCACGAGTTTATGAATAGCCTATATAAAATAACGCACACTAGTTACAGTATCCTTTTCCTTTTTCTTTTCTTAGTAATTCCACTTGTACGAGACGAAAGGAAAGAAGAACATTTTAGCAAACACTTCTTTTCAAAATGAGAACATCATTGATCGCAAATTTTTGTGAATAAAATTACATGAACATCTATTAATGTTTAAGAGTTCTTTTATGGGCATTATGCGTTCTCAAAATTAACATACGAAATAACACAGGATCATCCATCTGTATCTCGAGGTTTCAGAATTTTAAACTGAATTAAAAATCGTACAAACCGTTCTTAAGACTAAAAAATGAAACGCGACAAATACAAGAGGTTGAGTATAAGAAAACGTTGATTTAAAAACGTTGATACATAGATTATGGCAGTCTAGCGACTGAAGATGTCGCCACAGATTAAGTTGTGCGCTTGAAAGCATAAAATAAACTTGTTTTGTCATGAAAACAGTTGATTTGTCAAAGGCCTCTCGCAGAGTCGATCATTCAACAGAGAGGACTGAAAAAGCGTGCTTTGTTATACTCAGTATGGTGTGTATTGTGTCGAGACTACGCCCAGCGGCGTGTTTCTAGACTGCGAGCACGAGTGTTCCTTTGCCCGTGGATGAGGCCTTGAACAACGCCAGCCGGCGAAAAGTCTGAAAGGGGTCTGATAACTAATCAGTCCTCGTGAACTCTCTCTCCTCGACACGTCTCGAATCTCCCCGCGCGCGGAAAAACGAGTGTCCTGCGGCGCAGTGTATACCGGTATCCCACAACCCTCCTTGGTCTTACACTTAACGTTGAGTCAGCCCCACGCTTCTCGGATTTACGTAGGCTCTGTATTAACCTCCGGAAGGGGGAGGGTAACTTTTCCAGCCAAGTGCCTCGATAGGATTGATTAGAGAAGCGGAGTCAGACTGTCTTCAAGGCTTAAAAGCCTTTCTTTCAATTCACATCTATTTAAAAATGTGCCTTATTCTTTATTATCTGCATACTACCGCCAAAACGATTCACATGTACTTCAGAGGCATGTTTCGATTGTGTCTTAAAGCAAAACTGAACCAATAATTGCGCCCGATCGGGGGAAAGGAAAATGTCAGACCCACTCAGTGCGCATTTCGATTGAGTGCAGCGAGTGTGAAATCTAAGTAACCACAACGACCAATCAGGACAAAAATGTCACATGACAAGAAGCCAGCCAATGAGAACTCAAAGTAGAGACAAGCGGACCGACGGAAGCACGGGAAAATCCACTGCTGACCAGGCCGCGATTGGTTTCAGTTTCGCATTTGATTGGTTGAGAGGTGGTGCATCAATGAGAACTCAAAGTAGAAACAAGCAGGCCGATTGAAGCGCGGGAAAACCCACCGGTGACTAAGCCACGACAAGTTTCAGTTTTGCATTTGATGGATTGAGTGGAAGGCGCGAATTTTCATGGGTTATAGTAAAGCAAGACCAATGCATTCCTGGATAACACTTTGACTGGCCCAACTGAAAATTCCTCTATGACAAAAACTGTTTGAAGTGAGAAAACTACGTTTGAGCAATTCGCGATTGGATTTAGCTTTGAATATGTTGGGTACATATTGTTATACTCCAAGTGGAATACTGTGGCATTTTATCGCCAGAGGTACATACATACATAGGTTAATTGACCACTCCCCATAGGGGCTTTTCAGGGCCGACACCCACCCGGGGGAGGACATCCACCACACAGTAATCTCGTTCGTGAGAAATTAACGTCTCCTTCCCCTAACCCTGCAGGAGACGGGGTCTACGGTTTATTCGTCCTTATCCCAGAAGACTAGAATATATATCCATTTCTTGATTATAAAAAGGTAGCAAATTCTCCTCACTTATTTTAAGACCATGAGTATTGGTCCCCTCGCAAACCTCTCACCAAGCTTTATTTGTTCTTAGCCGCGAACTTTTACGCGGGCTAAGAAACGTTCGTGGCGCAGCGCGGATGAGGGTACGCTTACAAGGTCCAATCCTTCCTCCCTCCTCCCTTCCCCCACTCTACTGTAAAATGACGGACTCTGCCATAAAGTAACCTTTATTTTGTCAACAACCTTTATTCTTGTATCACTCCAAAAAGTGAACAAAGGTATATTCGTAGAGAAACTGTATCTTTAACCAAATTGCACTCTCTCCCCAACCTGTAAAAGGGAAAAAAAAAACACTAATAATTGTATAAAGCTTCACAAAATTACAATCATGTCTCTCACAAAGTTTTCTTTTTCTACTGAGCCCAGCCCATGGACACTTAGATTAACCCTCAGTGCCCTAACATCTAAGTGCATATTCTCAGCACTGTTCTCTATACTTTTCCTATGGTACTGACAAAGCGAATTTGTTAACAGATCAAAAGCTTCCCCTTTTGGCATTCCTTTTCTTTATCCTTCTGACCTCAATGCTTGATTCGGGGGTGAGGAGAAATTAGATACGAATCAGTCTTTGGATTTTGTGGGGTTAACAGGTGTACAGGCAAGAGAACAATAGGGCACGTAATTGCCTACTAGGTTCATCCGCCTAAACCAACCCCAACCCACCCATCCCACCCCAGGGGAGGACATCCATTACAAAGTAATCTCGTGCCTGCGAAATTAACGTCTCCTACCCCTAACCCTGCAGGAGACGGGACCTCCATTTATTCATCCCTATCCGAGAAGACTAAAATACCTAACCATTCCTTGATGTTATAGAAAGGTAGCATATTCTTCTCAATTATCTTAACACCTCGAGTGTTGGTCTGGCCGGGGCTCAAACCCTCAANTGGAGACAAGTATAACTTGAGGTGTCTGATATTAGGGACTAACACGCGACATCGACTTCACCACAGGCAGGGAAGCTTGGGGAAGAGGAGGCTTAAGTTCTCTTAGACGAAAATCCCCTACCCTTCAGAAAATGTCGCCAGTTACCTTAAATGATTATTAATCTCCCTTAGGCACTTAACTTTTTTAATGTAAATACCCTCAATACTTTCTTATTTAGCACCTCTTTACGATCGTAAGAATTTTCCAATGGTGCAGTTCACTATCTCTGTTCATTTTGTATATGAGCAATGGAGTCTCATTGTTTCCTGATAAAACGAGAAGTCTCCAAGCCGCAACTCTGAAGGCTCGCTTCCTTCGATGGCTGACTTTTCTATAAAAATTCATGTTGACTCACCCCAGGTATAGGTAACATGATTAAAAAAAATGTGAATTTTTTTAGGTGAGGTTTGCCACCTTTAGCTTAATTATAGGTAAATTAGTTCAAGTCACGATATCCGATATTATATATAAACAAAAGCGAACTTTCAGATATTTTTTGTATTGAATAGTGCATCAAATCGGAATCGTAGCTTTTCAAAGCAAAAAGTGCCTTAAATAGTGGGGAAAAGTGCAGTAACCCAACAGACCTCGGCGTGACTTCCTCTCGCAAGCTGTCTGCCACATTTCTTGCATTTCAGACACAAAGGATGATACCAATTTCCGAGCGACTCTTTTTTTTCGCCTGTCAAAGAAATGGTAGATGTGGATATGAGATCGTGGCCATATAAAAACAAAATTTTCGATTTTTTTTTTTTCCATTAACAAAAAACGTTCTAAGAACGTTTTTCATTTAGCGCCAGAAGCATTGATAAAAATCAAACGTGACGAAGAATTCTCTAGCTTTGATCATTCGTTCACATAGCGTATGCAAAATACCATTCAGGAAGAGCCGCGTCAAAGTCAAAACAGATCCCAAATTTTCAAATGATCGACTGAAAGTTGAAAGTATATATACCCATGTAGACGGTCTTGTCGCAAGTTGGACACTTCCGCGACATGGTCCAGAAAGATTCTTGTTCGTTCTAAAAGCAGATTTAAGATGCTTTCTTCCTGGTTGTAAAATCAAGATCGCTTGGCATTTTCCCAACACGCACCTGCCTGTTGTTACGGTCAATTTGAATACAAATTGCATATATTTTCGCCGTGTGATCACCTTTTTCATCCAATAAGAATGCGAGTGGGTAACGCGTCCAACACGAGGGGAACGAGAAGGAAAATACGAGATAGATAAATTTTGAATGAGCATCATAATTTAGCTATTTGGTTTATACACCTAACTTGTCTCGTTCTGGATAATAAAATATATAGTTTTCCCATGCAGTAGACTGTCCCTCCTTTTCGGCGAAATCCGTCGCGCGAGTAAAACAAAAATTCAGCTGAAAAGAAAATGATGTTAGTGCTAACATCAATCTTTTTTTCGCTGAGTTTTTTTACTCGCGCGACGAGGAAATTGCTCGTAGTCTACTTGCCCAGGGCCTTTTTTCAAGAAAATTTTTATGGACAAGTTATGTTGAATACGAGCTTGCAAGATTTTTACAACGAACCTTTCACGAGTTTATGAATAGCCTATATAAAATAACGCACACTAGTTACAGTATCCTTTTCCTTTTTCTTTTCTTAGTAATTCCACTTGTACGAGACGAAAGGAAAGAAGAACATTTTAGCAAACACTTCTTTTCAAAATGAGAACATCATTGATCGCAAATTTTTGTGAATAAAATTACATGAACATCTATTAATGTTTAAGAGTTCTTTTATGGGCATTATGCGTTCTCAAAATTAACATACGAAATAACACAGGATCATCCATCTGTATCTCGAGGTTTCAGAATTTTAAACTGAATTAAAAATCGTACAAACCGTTCTTAAGACTAAAAAATGAAACGCGACAAATACAAGAGGTTGAGTATAAGAAAACGTTGATTTAAAAACGTTGATACATAGATTATGGCAGTCTAGCGACTGAAGATGTCGCCACAGATTAAGTTGTGCGCTTGAAAGCATAAAATAAACTTGTTTTGTCATGAAAACAGTTGATTTGTCAAAGGCCTCTCGCAGAGTCGATCATTCAACAGAGAGGACTGAAAAAGCGTGCTTTGTTATACTCAGTATGGTGTGTATTGTGTCGAGACTACGCCCAGCGGCGTGTTTCTAGACTGCGAGCACGAGTGTTCCTTTGCCCGTGGATGAGGCCTTGAACAACGCCAGCCGGCGAAAAGTCTGAAAGGGGTCTGATAACTAATCAGTCCTCGTGAACTCTCTCTCCTCGACACGTCTCGAATCTCCCCGCGCGCGGAAAAACGAGTGTCCTGCGGCGCAGTGTATACCGGTATCCCACAACCCTCCTTGGTCTTACACTTAACGTTGAGTCAGCCCCACGCTTCTCGGATTTACGTAGGCTCTGTATTAACCTCCGGAAGGGGGAGGGTAACTTTTCCAGCCAAGTGCCTCGATAGGATTGATTAGAGAAGCTGAGTCAGACTGTCTTCAAGGCTTAAAAGCCTTTCTTTCAATTCACATCTATTTAAAAATGTGCCTTATTCTTTATTATCTGCATACTACCGCCAAAACGATTCACATGTACTTCAGAGGCATGTTTCGATTGTGTCTTAAAGCAAAACTGAACCAATAATTGCGCCCGATCGGGGGAAAGGAAAATGTCAGACCCACTCAGTGCGCATTTCGATTGAGTGCAGCGAGTGTGAAATCTAAGTAACCACAACGACCAATCAGGACAAAAATGTCACATGACAAGAAGCCAGCCAATGAGAACTCAAAGTAGAGACAAGCGGACCGACGGAAGCACGGGAAAATCCACTGCTGACCAGGCCGCGATTGGTTTCAGTTTCGCATTTGATTGGTTGAGAGGTGGTGCATCAATGAGAACTCAAAGTAGAAACAAGCAGGCCGATTGAAGCGCGGGAAAACCCACCGGTGACTAAGCCACGACAAGTTTCAGTTTTGCATTTGATGGATTGAGTGGAAGGCGCGAATTTTCATGGGTTATAGTAAAGCAAGACCAATGCATTCCTGGATAACACTTTGACTGGCCCAACTGAAAATTCCTCTATGACAAAAACTGTTTGAAGTGAGAAAACTACGTTTGAGCAATTCGCGATTGGATTTAGCTTTGAATATGTTGGGTACATATTGTTATACTCCAAGTGGAATACTGTGGCATTTTATCGCCAGAGGTACATACATACATAGGTTAATTGACCACTCCCCATAGGGGCTTTTCAGGGCCGACACCCACCCGGGGGAGGACATCCACCACACAGTAATCTCGTTCGTGAGAAATTAACGTCTCCTTCCCCTAACCCTGCAGGAGACGGGGTCTACGGTTTATTCGTCCTTATCCCAGAAGACTAGAATATATATCCATTTCTTGATTATAAAAAGGTAGCAAATTCTCCTCACTTATTTTAAGACCATGAGTATTGGTCCCCTCGCAAACCTCTCACCAAGCTTTATTTGTTCTTAGCCGCGAACTTTTACGCGGGCTAAGAAACGTTCGTGGCGCAGCGCGGATGAGGGTACGCTTACAAGGTCCAATCCTTCCTCCCTCCTCCCTTCCCCCACTCTACTGTAAAATGACGGACTCTGCCATAAAGTAACCTTTATTTTGTCAACAACCTTTATTCTTGTATCACTCCAAAAAGTGAACAAAGGTATATTCGTAGAGAAACTGTATCTTTAACCAAATTGCACTCTCTCCCCAACCTGTAAAAGGGAAAAAAAAAACACTAATAATTGTATAAAGCTTCACAAAATTACAATCATGTCTCTCACAAAGTTTTCTTTTTCTACTGAGCCCAGCCCATGGACACTTAGATTAACCCTCAGTGCCCTAACATCTAAGTGCATATTCTCAGCACTGTTCTCTATACTTTTCCTATGGTACTGACAAAGCGAATTTGTTAACAGATCAAACGCTTCCCCTTTTAGCATTCCCTTTCGTTATCCTTCTGACCTCAATGTTTGATTTGGGGGTGAGGAGAAATTAGATACGAATCAGTCTTGTGGGGTTAACGGGTGTAAAGGCGAGAGAACAATAGGACACATAATCCCCCACTAGGTTCATCTGCCTAAACCAACCCCAACCCACCCATTCCATCCCAGGGGAGCACATCCAGTACAAAGTAATCTCATGCCTGGGAAATTAACGTCTCCTACCCCTAACCCTGCAGGAGACGGGACCTCCATTTATTCGTCCCTATCCGAGAAGACTAAAATACCTAACCATTCCTTGATGTTATAGAAAGGTAGCATATTCTTCTCAATTATCTTAAGACCTCGAGTGTTGGTCTGGCCGGGGCTCAAACCCTCAAACCTCCTGCACAACAGTCCAGCGCTCTATCCATTGAGCTAACTAGAATGCTTTGGAGCCCTTTTTTTAGCCCATGAATATGTCTACCAGCACTCTTGAGCTGTGACCAATTCAGTCCAGATAGCTGGGGAAAAAGTTAAGGTAACTAAATTTAATTCATGGCCAAGAGCCAAATATTTTCCTGTCCTGCCTGACCTAACCCAGTCAATAAGCAATTTATCATATGACCGTCATTCTATCTTTTTTTTTTCTTTCTTCTTAAGTTTGCAGCTTGCCGGTTTAAGTTATTGCAGATGGCCCCCATGTGGAAACTTTATGCCTAACCTTTTTCCTATGTGCGCACAGTGCCATAGGGGGTCATTTGATAATTATGTTTATGTACCTTGGAATCTCACTTACCAAAATGCTACTCATGGATGACAGCTTAGCAATCTCAGTTGTATGTGTGTGATTCTGTTCCACCATGACCAAACCCTTTAGGGCCAAACAAGTGACTGTAACATGGGATATGGCAGTATGGTTTACCACCCTTCTACAAATATCCAAAAAATAATTATCTGAGCAAAATCTGTTTAAGACACAGTGTCATGCAACTTTAGAATCAAAAGGGTTGCACTGACACTCCGACTTCAGTCACTGAGTTGAGTTCTTTGACCCTTTCACACTCAAGATCTCTTTAGTAATTCTCCTTACTGTCTGCCATACAATTCTTATAATGCTAGTTTGGAGAATTTGGTATTGGATCAACCAAAAATTCTGTCTTGTCACTCAGGGGAGTTAAAGTTGAACATGACACTTTGCTGCCACAGTGTTACTTTCCTAAGGGGTGGGGTGGGGGCTGCTAAGGACTATCCAGCCATCCCAGAGATGTGGAGCAACTGCTAGTAATTTCATGTGTGTGGAGAAAATGAAAAGCATCATTAATCTGTTGTTTTCAATTAGTATTTTGGCACTGTAAAAAAAGAAAAAAAATGCAAATTTATTTAAGAAGTGGGGTGGTGAGGAGGTGCAATGTGTTCTATACCCACTCTACAGGAAATCATTCACTTTGGGGAAAGTGTGGAAAATGTGAGGTTTTACTGGAATTTCCCTTAGGTTGGGGTGGAGGTTCAAAATGTTAAAAAAAAAACAACAGAAAATGAAAAAAACCTTAGGGAACAAAGGAGAATAAGAAGTAAAATTGGAATTTCCCTGAGGCAGGGTTGAGGATTCACATGAAAAAAAAAAACCTTTGAAGCACATCAGAAGAGTACAAAGAAATAAAAGAATTTCCCTCAATAGAGGATGGAGGTTTAATTGAAAATACTTTGAGGGAAAATAGGAAGCTAAATTAGAATTTCCCTCAAGGTAGAGATGAGGTACAAATGAAGAAGAGGGAGAAATAAAAATGTGAGGGAAAGAGGGAAGGTATGAACCAAACTTAAAATTTCCCTCACAGCAGGTGGAGATATAAATTAAAACAAAAAAAAAAAAGAATGGGAAGGCAGATTTGAGGTTTAAATGGAAAAAAAAAAATGGAAGAAAAAATCTTTGAGGGAAGGAAGGAAGGTATGTCGCACAGTTGGAATTCCCCTCAGGGTAGGGTGGAGGCCCTAGTAAAAAAAAAAAAAAGAAAAACCTTTGAGAGAGATTTAATGAATATTGTACAGGAAACCATTAATACAATTGATCAGATCAGTGGATTCAGCTTTGAAAACGATTCAGATTCAAGGCACATGAATTCAACAGATTATAAAATTTTTCAAGCAAAGGGGAATTGACTGTACCCTTGATTCATAGCTCTCCTGTGGAGAGGTTTAAAATTCTTAATTTACTCCATTGTACTATAAATCATAGACAGCCCCTGTAATCTTTTAATTGTTTTACGGCACAAAACGACAAAGACTGAACCACAATTGATGCATGACAAACTCGAAGAAGAACGCGTAAGAATGCAAATTCGAATTTCCGATTGGCTGAAAGATGCCAATATTTCAACCTCGGACATGACAAAAACTTAATTACAAATCGTAGTCAAAATGTTCACAAACAACTGTTTATCTTATCAAATTGAAGGTGTGCAAAAGGGAATTCGATAATTCTAATTAGACAATGGAGTTCATTTTAATCACCCCTGTTTAAATTAACTTTAGATAAATTCTTTAAATTCCGAACTTTAAAACGAAAACCGCAGCACAAGATGGGTTGAAAGGAAACAGACAATGTACCTCTGCATGACCACCAGAAGACAACGTTTTCCCGCATTTTGCACATTTTAAACAAGCCCTGTGCCAGTCTTTTCCTATAGAAGACACTTTTTCGGCTGAAAAATGAGTAAAAGAGAGAGAGTTTTCGATTACAGACGGGTTTCACACGCGATAATGTGATAGATCAATAAATCCAAGATCTTTTTTCGCCACAGACAACTATTTCAATTAGTTTAACAATCTTCGCTACACAGACTTTGTTTAACAGTTTACTGTTAATCTTGGAGGCCTATCATGAGGCTTTGACCAATAAACTAAGTAGCTAAGCTTACGTTGGCTTGCGGATAGAAATGAGCAACAATACCGAAACAAAATTATTCGTATACGAAGACTCTGCATGAAATGATTTCCCGACCTGCGTAAGCCAATCGTTTTCCAAATCTGTACGTATTGTTATCCCTTCATTTCAGCTACTGTACAGGATTTTGACGACAATTCTCCAACTGCAGCGTCAAATTAGGAGTCCACAAGTCAAAACTGATGAAATTCAAAGCGAAGAAAGAGAAGAGGACAAAACAGATACTGAAAAAAATAAATATTACGTTGACAGAAATTTGAACAGCGCGCGTGCCGTTTTCATGCGAGTTGTGTTGATGTAAATAAACCCCACGGGAGCGAACGAAATATTGAATCTAGGGGATCTTTAACTTACCGAAGTACACTTCTTTGCCGCAAGTCGGACACTTCGTCATTTTGGAGCAAATGCGGTAAAAAGAGGCGCTCAAGAATGTAACAAAACAGCAGCAAATTACTCGTGACGTTCAAGACACGGGAGCTTTCGTTTGTAGTAAATATCCTATCCCATGATCACAAGGGAGCAAGCAATGTGAAGGTAACAGGGAAGAAACAGGGAATGAAAGGGTGCGGCTGATAGAAAGGGGGTCAATTTTGTTCTTCACGTAAAAGTCTTTCATGTTGTTGTGGTCACTCAGAATGTGTAGCCTTACGAAAATCTTCCTTTTTCCTTAATACGTGTGACCACATGCATTAAGAAAAAGTCACTGTAGTCATAGCTGGTAGGTTTACTGACTTCGACAGAAGACGTAAAACTAAAATAAACCGAAAAAGTACACTAATGACATATGCGAAAGTTCGTCACACGACGCTACATAAAAAACACGTAAAAACAATTCGAAATGAAATACAATAGGGAAACTAATTAAGCTTAGAACACAAAATACACTTATTTACCTTGTCCAGCCTTTAGGATCGCGAAATGGACTACAAAAAACGCGCCAAATAACCGTAAATCTTGTAAAGGTTTGAATCAGAACTAGCTTACGATCCGCGAGAGAAAAACACATCGCTCACGTGATCGAAAAATCGCGCGAAAACTTAACCGAGCACGGACTGGGCTATCTACCGTCACAATACAAATCTACTGGAGTTTGAAGGGAAAAACAGCCAACTCTTGTTTTAACCAAAGGCATTAAAATCGAGAATCAAGAGATTATCTAAGGTTGAGAGGTTAGCTGTGCTAAATCTTGATAAATACGTCGCTTACCGTTTCCAAGAGGTCACAAGCTGATCTCAGAAATTACACATATTAAAAAATAAACCAACAAAGCGACAGAGTGCAGTTGTCTTTATTTAGGATATTTACTGGTAAAAGCTTCCAAACACAAATTTGTCAAAGTGCTAATCGTGCCTTGGGTGTGATTGGTGTGTCAGTCATCTCTGAACTGAACCTGTGGATTAGAAATTCAAAAGTTTGCTCGATGTCAACTTTTCGTGGGACACAGTCTTATCCTATAGTCTCTTGCAGGTGGGATACACGTTAATTTATCTATTTATTGTTGTTTCTGTTTTTTTTTGTTGTTTTACGTTTTTCTGGCAAGCGCAGACAGGCGAAAGACTTTCCCCTCGCGTTTGTCTGGAAAACGATGAGGAGGGGGGGGGAGGGAGATGCACTCATCCCACGGGATTCTCCTTTTCGTATGAAGGTGTAGCCAGGGCTTGGATATTTCCGCCCCCAAAAAGGATTGTGAATTGCATGTGGGGATTCGTACGGTGGCCCAAAACTGTCACGGCAATTTCAATTTGGCCACGGCAATTTCAATTTGGCCACGGCAATTTTGGCCACGGCAACTTCAATTTGGCCACGGCAATTTCAACTTAGCCACGGCAAATTTCAATTTGGCCACGGCAATTTCAATTTCAATTTACTCACGGCAATTTCAATTTGCTCACGGCAATTTTAACTTGGCCATAGCAATTTCAATTTGGCCACGGCAAATTTCAATTTCAATTTACTCACGGCAATTTCAGTTTGCTCACGGCAGTTTCAATTTATCGTTATGTTGTAGTGTTTCCGTAACATGTAGAGAATTTCCTGATACTCGTAACCCTTAAAAAACAAGGATTCTAAAGTCACTCTTAGGTTTACCGCCATCCTAAACCGCTATGCGTTTTTACGCGCAAGTTCTACTGGAATTTTTTAGTAATTCCGCTGACATCTGGTCATATTAAAATTGAAACTGCCGCGAGCAAATTGAAATTGCCGTGAGCAAATTGAATTTGCCGTGAGTAAATTGAAACTTCCGTGAGCAAATTGAAATTGCCGTGAGTAAATTGAAACTGCCGTGAGCAAATTGAATTTGAAATCGCCGTGGCCAAGTTGAAATTTTGCCGTGGCCCAGTTGAAATTGCCGGGAGCAAATTGAACGTTTCCGTGGCCAAATTGAAATTGCCGTGACCAAATTGAAATTGCCGTGACACATTTGGGCCCCGTAGATACGCAAGCTCACACGCGTGTGTCTGAACGTCAGGAGGTTAGCCTCTTTTTTTATTCGAGCTCCTATTGGCTATGTGCAATGTTAAACTTTTTTCTGATTTGCTGTTGAGATTAACGACAATCAATCGAAATACACCCTGTCGGTAAGAGTGTTGAAATACATCCCTACATTGTCTGTCCATCAATGCGTGGTGCTTGTTGGGTTCCCAGGCTCTCATGGGCGCTGCAAAACGAGCTGCGAGTTTTGAGCCCGCCAGCAATGAAAACGTGGGAGAGGCCAAGGAGGAAAACGAGGGTCGAAACACGAAATTATTTCTCGTGCCAGATCCTTCACAGAACTCTCTCACGCTCGCTTCGTTCGCTGCTTGTGCTACAGCTCTAACGAGAGCCGACTCGCAGGCTAAGCGCGTGCAATTACAGTTAGCCACAAACAAGACTTACCTGAAGAGCACAGTGAAATTAGTATTTATGTGACTCTGTTCCACCGTGACCAAAACCTCCTGGGCCAAACAAGGCAGCGTAGCATGGCTTATTGCAATATGGCTTGCCTCCGTGCTGGAAAATTATCAAAAAGATACGTTCATATTTGCCATACAATCCCGGATTTGGGGGCTATTGTACACTATTGATGCCTTGATGCGGCGAAAACCTTAGCCTGCGTATATAGTGGTTTTTGAGTGCGCTTCGATGTGTTGAGAAGCGGAGCTGCGCAAACGAGCGGGGCTTGGGACATACATACATCTTTATTTAACAATGCAGGTTAGAAAGATTGGCAAGACCGAAGTCCTGATGTGGACCTGCCTAACTACAAATTAACTACAATCACAAAATATATAATAAAAATTGGAAAAACAGAGTGAAATTACTTCTTAAATACAATTCTAATTGGACAAGTTAAATACAAATCAATATTAAATTTACAATTAAATTTAGAAGTGCCAAGATTATATACAGAAAAGTATAGAAAAATACAGAAGTATAGAAAGTATAGAAATACAGAAGTATAGAAAAATACAGAAAGTCATCGTGTTTCATTGAAACACAGCAGGAACCTTTGGCAAAATTTATGCTATTGAGAAGATGCTTGTTAGCCTTAAGCTTAATCTTAAACAATCTTAAGTTAGCACATTCCTTGACATGATGGGGAAGAAGATTCCATACCAAGGCGGCCCTGTGTTTAAAAAGAAGACCTGCCAATTTCAGATCTTGGTCTTGGCACTTCTAAATTTAGAGAATTTCTTAAGATGTAATTCGTTTTTGCCTTAGAAATTAAAATATTTAGATTCTCGGAATTTAAGCTATGATAGGATTGATAGGTCAGAACCAGCTGTCTTTTAACATAATACAAAGAAATGGGATTTCATTGCCTCAATTTCTTGATCTCGTCAGCTGGAGTGGTCATAGATAGCTTGCAAACAATCCTAATTGCTCTCATATGAATACGTTCAATATCCTCCATAAGTGATGGGGAAGCAGAGCCCCAAATAACACTATTATATACAACACTAGGAATAATCGAATTGAAATAAATAGATTCCAAGATGGACTGAGGCAGGAAATTGATTCCCTTCAAAACAGCCAATTTCTTGTTAAATAACATACAAACATTCCTAATATGATCCTGCGAAAATAACTTATTGTCTATAGTTAAGCCAAGACACTTAGATGAAGACTTGAGCTCGATGGTCTTGGTGCCATATCTTAAAGTTGGCAGAGGGCCTATAAAGGTGGATCTAGACATTATCATCGGATATTGAAATTCGAGGTTCTTCTAATTTTCGCGCCTCCATGGCCTTTACTTTCATCGAACGTCTAGTAGACCGCCACCTGTGCGGGCCAAGAACACCTGCCTTGTGGTATCTGTGTAACTACGACCTCGCGTTATGATGAACACATTCTGTCAAAATCAACCTCTGTCTCAAGTACACATGCGCACCCTAATCGGCTATAGGGTTAACTCGTTCCCAGTCGTCTTGATAACACGTCGGGAACGGGAGCGCCATATACGGTGAAAACGGAGAATGCGTTACCTCTGCCTCTGCTTTTCTCTCTCCTATTTCCAGTGCCTCTCGAACTCCCGCGCTGCGCGCGTCTATGAAAAAGATGCGCAGAAGACAGGTCTTAAGTCTGGCGCGATGACGCGCAACGATCGTAAAACAATTTTTATTTCAGAGAGGGTACGCGCTCGCTGTCCGTTCCTTCCCAACAACGCGCAGTTGTCAATTAAATGAGAAATACACAATAGTTTCTAGCACTTTCTATTTATCTTAATGATAGTCCCTAAACAGACGCTTATATGGAAAATTCCTGAAAGGAATATTCTGAATACCATAAAGACTAATTTTGACAACAAGGGAATTTTGAAAACTCCTCGACAAATTTAAAACGGAAAGCTCTTACCTCGGAATGACCTCCAGAATTCAGAGTCTTGTTGCATTTTTCACATCTCAAACATGGCCTATGCCAGTCTTTGCCAAGCGAAGTCACCTTCTCAGCTGAAACCCAGAAAAATGAATTACGTCAATTGCCGCTCCACTGCACAGAGGAGTGTCTACAAGCGATGATCCAGTATCACGGCCCTCACTACTTAAGTTTTCTGTGCAATTAATTCGAAAACCTCGTACATGTACAAAGATTTAGAATTATCGCATGAATAGTTCCCATGTACAATTCAGTCGTCGAATTTGGTTATTCTAATATTATTTAGTGGATTGGATATCTCCACCAGACGGTGGATTGGATATCTCTCTTTCCAGACAGAGAAGACGACGAAAATGCTGGTTTCCAAGATTCGAGCGACTCGTTAAAAATTCTGGTTACCTTCTATACTTTCCTTGACCCGTTTGAGCTAATTAAGGCTCTTAAGATTGAAAGAACGCTCTACTGGGGCTAACTAGAGAATAAGCCAGAGATGATGGGGCTTCCCGATTAGTGGCCAAAAGTCTATCCTAACATGCAAAACCCACAAACGCAATGGCACTCTTCCAGAAATCCAGTTCGACAAACCTTCCAATTTTGCCTGATAATAATAATAAACTCAATTTAAATCTCTCCACAAATACCGCAGTTTGTTTTGTTTTGTTTTGTTTTTTTTCACGATTAGCTGAATATCAACAGTTAAAAGCTACACAAAAGGGGGTCCCGTTCCGACAAAAGCAAATTCATGAAAAATATTGAGGGTGAAAATTGCTCCAAAGTTGCAGGCATTTGCCAGCATCTTTCGAACAGGGAACACATTTCATCCGACCCTTCGTTTTAGAAGCTCCAGCTGGAATTAAAAAACCAAATCGAGGAGGATTCAGCCTTTCCGAAAAATTCGAACTGAATGGGTCACCTTGTCTAGTATTTTTTAACCTCCATGTCGCCTCTCGAAATAAAGTTGTGAAGCAAACTTACCCGCTCCCAACTGTAGATGTAACGACGAAAAGAAGACTATACTTACCAAAATAGACTTCCTTGTTGCACTTGGGACACTTCGGCATTTTAGCTGAAAGAGATGAGGAATTAGTCGACCTTGAGTTTGCGAGACGAAAGCGAAATAAGCTCTCAAAACATCTGCATAATGCGATAATTATTTAGAGCTCAAGTTACCTTGCCTTCTCTTGAGTTATGCAGGCGTAAGCAGCAAAATAAACTGTATATTAGAGGAGTTAAGAACTGTTTAGTTTTTGTTATTGAAAGGTAATTCTTTGAACTTTTGCCCTTCACCTTCATTCGAGCGTTCGGAGCAATTTCAGAGTACTCGGCCACTTTGGTCCAAATTTTTTTAAGTCTACCATATTTTCAGCGCAGCCTTGGGATTTTCACTGCGGGTGAGTAACAATTTTCGTCTGCACAATACAGCAAAATAAAGAAAACAAACCTTTTCGACGTTTAGGGTGTTCACAAGCTGACTAAGCCTCTCGACTTGTACCCTCGGTGTTATTCACACTTCTGGCAGCGACCCCAAATCATTAATGGCAAAATTTCCATTTCGAAAGCTCTTCATATGCAAATAAACAAAGAGATGAAAACAAACACAGCAATCGTGCCTTTGAAATATGCATGACGTAGACGTGAATAACTTCTTACAATTTTTTTTTTGTTATTGTTGTTTTTTTATGAGTCTAGACAATATTATTGGCGCTATATGAAGCCTTCAAACTTCTTCTAGATATAAAAAAGTTATCGCGTCACAGGAAAACAACCAAAGTCTTTTGAAAAGTTGTTGTTGAAGTTGAAGTTCATTTATTTGTTTAAGCAGGTTGATTAATTTGGCAGCAGTATTAGCTGATGTGGACCTGGTGTCCTAACCTACCCATCCCACCCCAGGGGAGGACATCCATCACACAGTAATCTCGTGTGTGGGAAATTTACGTCTCCTGCCCCAACCCTGCAGGAGACGGGACCTCCATTTATTCGTCCCTATCCGAGAAGACTAGAATATCTAACCATTTCTTGATGTTATAGAAAGGTAGCAAATTCTTCTCAATTATTTTAAGACCTTGAGTGTTGGTCCGGCCGGGGCTCGAACCCTCGACCTCCCGCACNGAGAAATATTGCAGCCAGCTGAGGCCGTCATCCAAACCCATTGTTTTCTGTCTGCAATTATATCACCGAATAATAATAATAATAATAATAATAATAATAATAATAATAATAATAACGAATTTTTATACAGGATTGAAAACCCATCAGTGTGTAACACTGTTGTCCTTGGGGTCCTGTCAAAATAATAAATAAATAAATAAAATAAAACTTAACAAGATATAATCATTGATCTTAAGGTCTAGAAAAGCATACAATAAAATAAAATGCTCTGAAAAAGGATACCTATAACCACGTTTAGATCGAATTTTTAACTAAAATAATCTCGCAATTTGTTCTTAAATTTCAGTCTCGAATCTAACGACCTTAGTTCAGCAGGCAGGTTGTTGAAAGTCTTTGCTCCTTGGTAATAGAAGCTCTTTTTACCAAATTCTAAACGTACTTTGGGTAATTTCACTGATATACCGTTATTCCTAGTGGCCTTAGAATGAACCAGTCTTTCGAAGTAGTTCTTAAAGGGTGTGCAAACATTATTCAGGAGACAGTCGAAAACAAACAAACAGCTTTTACGCTTGATCAAATTGTTCACGGATGGGGGATTAAAAGAACTATTGCCAATAACTTTAAAGCCTCGTCGTTCGATGTTCTTTATCATTTCCTTTCGGTAATCCGGAAAGCTAAGACCAAGTGTTCCGCAATAGGTAAAAATAGGTGCGATCATAGTGTTATAGATCGATTCTGCACACTTTTGGTCGATCAAAGGACGAATTGATCGCAAGAGATTAATTCTGGTTGCAGCTTTTTTATAGATTCGGTCAAAATGTGATGCAAGGTTTAGTGATGAGTCAAGGTGAACACCTAAGTACTTATAGGTAGAGGTGTTATTGATGAGTGTCCCATTAACAGAAAGTTTAAGTTCCTTGTCTTGAAGGTTGATTCTTTTAGCTGTTCCAAATAACATAGACTCCGTCTTGTCCTTTTTTAGGTTAATGATCAGTTCGTTGTCTTTAAACCACTCGCACAGGTTATTCATTATAGAAAGGAAGCAAGGTAGCAAGGTTATAGAAAGGTAGCAAATTCTTCTCAATTATTTTTTAAGACCTTGAGTGTTGGTCCGGCCGGGGCTCGAACCCTCGACCTCCCGTACTACAGTCCAGCGCTCTATCCACTGAGCAACTCCCAAAGGAGTTCAGGAACTTCTTAGAATGATTTTAAGTTTGTGGAAGCATAATTTTAAAATTTAAGACAATTAGTAATTCTTTTAGTGATGTCTACAAAAAATAATCCTTATCATACAAAAAGCGGATCATTCACAAGTGATAGTATTACCTAAGAACAAAATACACTCGGATTTCCGGAAGGGTGTGGTGGCGAATAAAAAATAGGAAGCCGCTAGCGGACGCAAATTAGCATTGACTACAATGTGTATAGGGTGGGTACCCTGATCTGAAACATCTCGTAATTCAATACGGATTTTATTCTCGTGAAATAATTTCAGAATAATAGTGTGAAGAATTCTAGCTCTTTCGGCCTTTGTGAACAGTTGCAGACGTCATGTTGCTGAATAACTCCGAGAAGACAAAGGACTGAAATTAGACTCGCGACAAACTATGATTAATTAATGGTGTTTTCAATGCTTTTAGTCCCTTCATTGTTTACAATCATTCTTCCTTTTAAGGCAATTCTGGGTTCTATTGGAAAATTTTATACTAAAGGAGACCTGGGTCTCGTTTTTTTTTTATTTTTTGTTTTTATTTTTTACACGACCCATCCCAGGCCTCCCTCGCTTTTTCACTCCGTGGGCAGGCGCAAAGCACGCAGGTCAAAAATCTGAGCGGTGAAAGGAAAAATAAGGAAATGATTAAACGGGAATGGAAAACAGGGCGAATGGAGCATGGACATCTTGATCAATGAGCAAATAGGTGAAAGGAAAAGAGGGAAGGAGACTTGCAAAACGTTAACATTGGAAACGGAGAAATGGGAGAAGGAGAAAAGAGAACAGAGAAACGGTGTAACAGGGTTATGACAATTGTGGGAAAGGGAAAACGGAAAAACGACGAAACCGAGAAACAGAAATTATAGGGGACCGAAGAATGAAGAAATCCAGAAGAGTGATCGATTAAACATCTGTTTGCTAAGGAACAATGCTCATGGTGAAAAAAAAGTTTTGAAAAGTTTTTAAAAATAAATGCGAAAATAAAAATATTTAAGAATGAAAATGGGAAAAATTTCAAATTGTTAGCAAAAATCTATAAGAATTCTTATGACTTTCAGACTTCATAGGTAGAGTTTCTACACTCACTTCAAGGAAAGAACACTTGATAACCAGGTTTTAATTTCTTATATTTGGTAGGGTTCAGTTTTCCTAGCAAAAAGGGCCTTTGGTCATTGGTGTCCAATCATGTGTACTGTATGTAGCCTTGGTTGCTCCATAAATCAACAGTTGACAGAAATGTCCACCAAAGGACGACTGACATATTATTCGGTTCAATGGTAATTTATGAACATTTGTTCTACTGTTCATTGAAGGTGGCTCAACACTACTAATAGCTAGACAATGTATCCTGGGTCTAATAGTCAGCAAACATCTTGACTAAGACTTTAGCTTACAACCAGATGAAAACCAGTGGAGTTAGTCTACATGTAGACTAGCAACTCAAATATATATTCAAATATTGACCAAGGCCACCAATTCCACTAAAATTAAAATTTTTGTAAGCCAGATATGGGATAATTTATTTCAAATCTTTCACAAGTTTTCTGAATTTCCTGGCCACGGTTATTCAAAAGTTGCAGAATGCTATCCACTGGATGAACCTCTGGTGGACAACACAGTACACTAGATAACAATTTATCTGTTGGATACCTTTACTACCCTTTGAACAACTGGGCCCTTGAGTTCAGTTATACCCGACAAAAAAAAAATGAAGAGAAGAAATACAGATTCACAGTGTCAGTGCATATATACTACGGTAATCTTTGGCTCACGTTTTGCCTACAGTTAAACATGAAAGATTTACACATAGAAGACCAAACTGGTAGTAAACTATATTACACATTTTTAGAAGATCTATACACATGTTACACAAACAAGGAAAGTATACTTACAGAACTGGTCAAGTTGAGATACTGAGGTAATTATATTCATGAACAAACCAGGTTGTGAATAATTTCTATACACAAAGCGGCAAAATAAATGGTCCATTATATTTGACATCTGGTTTTATTATCAAAAATTGAAATAATCTTCAACTGGATTATATAACCAGAGGAATTCATTACTTATATCTTTTTTTGTTTCCAAATGAAAATCTTATTCCTTAATAACCATAAAACAACTATAATGAGGAGTAAAAACTCTTTCTTTTTAATTTGGATTAAGAAAAAATCCTATTAATATCAACAAACTAAATGTTTAGTTCAAGGATTTAAAGGGTTAAAATGGGCTCAGATCTCTTAGAGCAGAAATTTTGACCATCTTGTTAACTTGAATGACAATGGCAGAGAGAAATTGTTCCTTGCTCACTTTTTCTTGTTTTTGAACACAGGCACCAAGTCTCGCTCCATAATTAACTTAGAAATGCTGTGAAATTGCATCTGGCTATATAAAATACAGTCAGCAAAAACTCTTTTAAACTCAACGTAAAGAATAGTTTCTGTAATCAATATGCAATAGTCACAAGGCATGTCACAAACAATTTCTCCTGTCCATCCCATTCAAATCAACAAAAATTCAGGAAAATCTCAGCATTCGTGAAGTGTTTCAAGGTATGAATCATCTCATACTTCAAGGTTTAATTTTGCTTTCTGACTGAAAATTAGGGAATGGGTTGCAACCTGTCAAAGTATCCTGAAAATATAGCCCAACAGTGTCTGTTACACTCAAAATATGTTACAGAAGGTTGCATTTATGTGCCTTGGGGCTTGAGAAAAAGGCACGAGCATTTTCAGCAACTATAAAACATCAGTAGCACTGACTTTCTACTAAAATAGGCTCTGGGATACTAAAATTTCAACTCTACAATAATAATAATTCATAAAAGTTCATAATACTATGAAGTTGGCGTCGTAGAGTTTGTTGTTGTTAGCATTCCTGCACTACTGCTTTCAATGTTTGCATCAATATTTTCGCTTTCTACATTAGTTGCATTGCTGCCCGGAGATAAGTCTTGTGAACCTGCCCCACCAGCCAGGAATCTGACACACTTCTTTTTCCGTCTGAAGCAAAAGAGATTGTGGTTAGTAACGATGATGATGTGGCATTTTTTACAAGGCACTTTATCCATACTTATATACTCCGATGCCCTTTAGAACTTTGTCCAGACTGCTTTGAGCAGTTTACAGTTTTGTGAGGAAATTTTGCAGGTGTCTTCAATCTAAAAAATTTAGGAAACAAAGCCAGACCACAAAACCTAGAGCCGACTTTTTATAATTTTTACCAGAGGTGTGTGGGTTCTCAAACATTCCCTGGCTAAACAGTACAGAGAACATGTACGAGACCTGGTTTATTGTCCTTATCCAAGAATACTCAAATTTCTAACCAATTCCAGATGTTATTGGAAAGGCATCCAACAAATTCTCCTCTGTCATTTGAGACCCCGAGTGTTGGTGTGGTCTTGACATTTCTCACCGCAGTCTAGTGAGTACTCTACAACCTGAGTTAACCAAGCAGTGGTTAACAAGCAAGCAAAGCCCCTTTGACTAAAAATTTTCAAATGATTCTAATACAAAGATTTAGCCAAGTCTGAAAATGGAGCTTCAGTTAACATTCCTTATTTCAAAATATATTTTATTTGTATTTACCAGAGAATATATCACTGAAAATTTTGCAAAGTAAAATTATAAAAATTACTGGAATAATCATAATAATAATAATGTTTATTTCTTGTATTGCACAGTCTAACATGCAATAAAAGATATGATTGAATGCGCATTACAACATTAAAAATCTTACAGCGATGAGGCTAATCCTAATAATGATAGTAATAATAACAATTTACAATTTTTCGGAAAAACAATAAAGTTAAAATATGGATCCACAATTACATAGACCGTTAGCCAACATACAGGGATGCAATTTTCTAAGCTTGACCCAACCAGGTCTTGGATGCAGACTTCCTGACACAGAGCCCACACAAGCCACAAAATTTTTCTGAAGTACAAGTTCATCTTACATTCCATCCATTAGGCAAACACCCAGGAATGATGGTGAATTTGTGGTCACATTTTTCATTGAGTCCTTCAACAATAAACATGGAAATGTTTTCGGGTTGGGGCATTGTTGGAAATGGGTGTGCCAATGTAAATCTATTATGTTCCATCATGACATACCTGCATGGTTTACACCACTCCTGTTGTCTATCAAGACCGTATCTTGCTCGACATTTTTTTGGATTTGTGATTTCTGCTAAATAAGAATAAATAAATTTCATTACCCGCATGTTTATACTTCTCATGTAAAATGTTAATATCCAATTGGCACATTTATCAACAAAACTCTCTCCTATCAGAGTTCCAAGCTCCACCTTTTCCAAAGTTCACATTTTCTTGGTTGCCAGAATAAATATTGGGTTGCTCGAAAGAAAAGACACTTTGTGCAAGACTATATGACATCCCAAATTGTAAAACAAACAGCTTGTCTTTGAAGCACACTGTTTGCATTTATTTTTGGAAATTCACTTGATAAATCCAGGCTTAATACTAGTGCAACAAAAGATGAAAAAGGCCGGTATGACTGAAGAAATAAGGAAGAGACAAAAATAAGAGAATTTTTATCTCACTGACTACAGGGGGCCCATACAATCTGTTTGTGTAGCTGACTGTTGTTTTATGGTGAATGTACCAGATTTACCGTTTGCCTCGCCTATAGTGATATATTGCTGACTATGTACATAAATCATTGATAAATAAACGTTGAATTACTTTACTGTGGTGTATAGTCATCCTTTTGCCTCAAAAATGTTTTTTTGAGGGATTTTGAATAAGTCTGAGATCGTTGTTAAAGTAATGCATAAAAAGACAAGGGTGGAAGCCTTGTTTTGAATGGGTTCAAGTGCCTGAACAATTTTCGTCCCGAAAATCGCATCACTCCGCATTCAAACTTCGCAGCAATAAGGTCAAAGATGCACGATTCTCCTGGTACCTTCCAATCAAATATCGATCCAAACAGACTGGAGCTAGCCCTCAAAGAAAATCAAAATCCCACAGTATTTGAGCATCTGGGATGCATACCAAGATTCTCGTGTGCCAGCCAGAAACCGTCATGCTGATTGCCCAATTCAAAATCTGATTGACCAATTCAAAATAACGTCGTCCAATCAGAAAATGGCAATCAGTGTGACAGTTTCTGGCTGGCACATGAGAATCTTGCTATGCATCCCAGATACTCAAATACTGTGGGACTTTGATTTTCTTTGAGGGCTAGCTCTGGTCCGTTTGGATGGATTTTTGAATGGAAGGTACGAGGAGAATAGGGCATCTTTTGCCCTTATGCTGCGAAGTTTGAAAGCGGAGCGATGTGATTTTCGGGGGGAAAATCGCTTGGGCGCTTGAACCCTTTCAAAACAAGGCTTCCACCCTTGTCTTTCTTTTATGCATTACATTAATGACGAACTCAGACTTATTCAAAATCGCTCAAAAAAAAAACATTTTTGAGGCAAAAGGACACCTATACACACCAGGTAAAGTAATTCAACATTTATTTATCAATGATTTATGTATATAGTCAGCAAGATATCACTATAGGCAAGGTAAACGGTAAATCTGGTACATTCACTATAAAACAACAGTCGGCTACACAAACAGATTGTATGGGCCCCCTGTGCTTTGACCACATCAAATAAACCCCTAGTTAACCCACATAAGTGATCAATGCAGAGTTTCTCCTTATGTACAATACTGATAAAACATCAAACAAACAAATGATGAGAACAAAGAAAAAAATATATATCAGGTGCTGCCAAATTCTTAAAATTCACATTTTAATTGTTTGGTAGACGGAGAGGAGAATTACTAATGAGATCTCGGAAGTGAGAAGGTGAAGTCATCAAATTGTTTCCCCTAATTGCCATTGTGGCCAAAATGGTTGCAGCTTCAAGCACTGTCTACGACCAAAGGTGAGCCCCTTAGTTACCTTGCGATTTATCTCTTTTTCTCTTCTTCTTTTTCCCTTGTTGTGCGTAATTGTCCCTTGCACTCCAGCCAGGGTATAATTGCATGTGTAAGGCTCGTTCTTTTCTTGCCATTTCATAATACTTTGCTTGTTCTTGTCTGTCCAGTGCATGCCACTAAAGGAGAAGAGAAAAGAATAAATTTAACAAAAAATTACCACAGCTTGAATTATAAGAAGAGTGTTTCTTGATTGGGAGTAAATCTCAGTGAACTGGAAAGCACTTGAACTTTAACCAGCAAGGAAACTGTGTCTTCCACAAATGCACAAGATTTTAAGTTAACCCACATCTCAAGGCAAACTATGAATTAATTGCAACTGCTCTGTACCCTAAAAACTTCCAAAAGATAGGAGTTTGGAATATCTTAATTAACACACCCAATTACATTTTCTTTTACACTTTACCACTTACAAGAAGGTTCTTTAAATTATTCCAATAAGCTCTATTTTAACAATGTTTTTCACTTGTTATGTTACTGTGTTATGTCTAGCATAGTTAATGATAATTAACACTGAAAAGCTGTGATGGAAGTCGGGTGTTCAAGAAGTCAAATACCAGAGACTTCGTCCTTATTCAGTTGCCTGCTGTCGAAGGAATATCGTCTCTCAATGAAATGACATAAACAGGGCTTGACACTAACTTTTTAACTTACTAGCCAAGTGGCTACTGACAACTTAGATGTTACAACAGTTTCATTTTGTTTACTAGCCAAACTGGCTAGTGGAAATCGAAAATCACTCTAGCCAAAGCTGAATTTCGACTAGCCTGTGGTTAGTTGGCTAACAAGCCGTGCATAAAAGGTACCTTTACTGTACAACAAGAATATGAAAGGGATCTAGGCACCAAAGGTCATGTGGATGGGCCTCCTCAAATACGACGCTTTTACATTCCTCTGGACCATTTAGGGAAAGGTGATCTGTGTTTTATCACTGACATGGCTATACGCTGGGCTGAGTTGAGAGTGACTTCTGTTTAAGACACCACAGTCTTCCTTGTAAAGTACAACACGGTCCTTACCCATATGAAACCCTCAACAGGATTGTAGTTAAGTAATCATGCTGCCAGCTGAAATTTCAAGTGAGGTGGTTCAAAGCTGGTGAGCGAACCTACCAAGTAGGCAAGTAGATGAACAAAAGCCCATCTTTCAAACCGGCAGTCTAAATTCCATAGGGATCAACAAATGCTTTTCATTCCACTAATTTATTCATGTTTTTCTCGTTGCCATGTTCCCACCAATAACGTAGCTCCATTTTCTGCCTTTAAAAGCACACACAACCCACAATTCCTCTATTTGCTACGATGAAGGGCTAACGCTCGAAACGTCAGCTTTTGTAATCATTACAGTGGCCAATTTACCATTTCAACTTTGTTGATATATCCAAATTACCAAGTGCACAACCTCAGAAGTGCCTGTTGTGCTTTAACAAGCCATCACAGGCCAGAAATCCAGCCAATGATTGCCACTTTTTCATCTGGCAAATTTCACCAGCAGCAGGTGCTTAGCAACAACCCTGTTATGAGTTGATATTCTTGGAAACACCTAACTTACAATTACAAGGTTTAAATCAAAGAGAAGAATGAAATATGTTAACAAGTTAATTAAATAAAATTAGCAGCAAGCCATCCTTTGGTCACACGGGGTTATTACAACTTTTGCTCTCAGTTTTAAAACAAATTCAATTTTTTGCATTGCTTTATGTTTTTTGGTAATGAAATTAGAAACTACTGCAGAACACGAGGCATTTTTCATTGTGGATAATCAATAGAATTGTTATCAAGTGCCTCCAACATCCAAGTTTATGATTGTTGAAAACATTGGGTAACAACTAGCCAGGCAAAGACAAACTTATAGTACTAGGCAAAAGTCTGTTATAACATTGACACACCAAGGTTCAGGCATGCAGCTATGGAATAGTGAAGGCTGTTTTGGATGTACGAAAACACCATGTCCTACAGTAATCTGTAATTTGGCATTACCCTTTTTCCAAGTATCTGGTTGATTGCTGCGCTTTCTTTCAACGTGCACTCTGATACGACTTTAGAGCGCATGTCCTTCATATACAACATGAATGCATTAAGAGGTTTCTTGACGTGGCCTTTGGGAAGTCCGTTATTTCCACTTACTGAAGTATCCATTCGCGGGTGATCAGGCATTGCTGGAATGCTCTGTGACGATAACAAACTGAAACAGAATAATTATACCAATTTAGCCCTTCAATTCCCAGGAACTGATTGTTAATTCTCCCCTGGAGCTGTTACATATTTCTTTCTTAATTAGTTACAAGAATTTGGTGATAGATCTAGGCAACAAGTTCTACCTGATACCTTAAAGTATTCTCATTAACTATTTAGGGGATAAGAGATGGCTATTATGGGGAGAAGTTACATGTTAATCACTTCTGGGAAGGTCATGGGCATGAAAAGGAGATAAATCAGAATAACTGTTCCAAAAACAAAGTAGTAAGGCTTTCACTCCCCAGATCTGATTCTTAATTCTCCCTTCTTGCTGTAACACATTTCCTTGTACATTAATTATGAGGATAAGTTTGAGTATATTCTCACGACCTGTTTCCTGGATGATATATGGATATCGTGCTGATATTGTAAGGAGAAATGTCACTCTTGAGGGATGACAATGTAGAAGAAAAAAAAAACAAAGGCTTCCATTTTAGCACTAAGTAAGTTTCTAATAAAGCCTGTCTTCGATATGTTCCCTTACTGGGAAATCCTAGAAATAACAAAGCTCCATATTTTATCCATACTGCTTTCCATACATTTAACAAGCTGCTGACAAAGAGAATTTGCTTAACAATCAAAGAGCTACTATATAGTTGGTGATCATTTTCTTCATTCTTATAACCTTAATGTGTGATTCAGGGCTGATATTGTAAGGAGAAATTAGATGCTGGTCACTCTTAAAGGTTAAAAGGTTAATGGTGTTTAAGATTATTACCTTCCAGTTCCACAAGTTGATGGGGTACGATTTATAACTGTTTGGTTTGGAGGGGGTGGTGGACAACAGACCCCACGGGGGTCTGCCGTTATTGTTGGGTGGGTTAGTCTTTGAATGCCAGCCGATGTTGGTCCAACTTGGCTTGGATAGTTTGGATACTGAGATGGTGGTTGGCTGATGATTGGCGAGTGGGGTTGCCTATAAAGACAGACACAAAAGATAAATGCCATACAGATTTAGTGAGCTATTCGAGAGTTAATAAAACTGAAACTCATTAGAACCAGTGGCAGATCTAAGAGAGGGGCATGGGGAGCCCGGAACCCCCCTTTTTTGAGGTAAAAAAAAAAAACACAGAAGGAGGTAAAGCCGGCAGGTGAACACACACAAATAAAAATGCCCCCCCCCCTCCAGCTCAAGATCAAAATCCACCTCTGATAACTACCGTCATTCTTGCACAATCAGCAGTCATTTTGGTATAATTAGTTTATTTTATAAGAGCTTTTTGATAACAATATTCAGTTTGGGAAGTTTAGCCATATGTATTTAAGTTTGGGACACATCAATCAGCTTTGTTCTGACACTTTCACATCTATCCACTGACATTTTCCATTTAAGTGCCAGTTATCAGGGTAAATTTGAGCCAAGGGAAAGAAAAATGAGGAGTTTGAGTTAACCAAGTTTGGGTCACGTATGATGAACGATCCTCGCAGTAGAGAGCGCTATTTATGCAATAGCGAAAATCAGACCTGAAGTTCGGGTCAGTTAATAATAATTGCCAAAAAAAATCTATTTGCTACCAGAGGAAATCGCATTTAGTTCAAGTAATCTGGGTTCTACTGTAAACATTTCACTAAATCCATGTTTCATTTGTATGTATACTTGAAAGGCCAATTTCAGCATGAAGCTCTGGGGGTACTGCTCTGTTGACTGTTCTTAAAAGCTGATAGTTTCTAAAGAAACTGTTTGGGGCTGCATCGGTGGGGGTAAGAAAATAATTTGAATATATCAACAAAGTTGAAATGGTAAATTGGCCACCATTACAATTATAAAAGCTGACGTTTCGAGCATTAGCCCTTCGTCGGAGCGAAGGTCTAACGAAGGGCTTTGCCCCGATGAAGGGCTAATGCTAGAAAGGTCAGCTTTTATAATCATAAGGGTGGCCAATTTACCATTTCAACTTTGTTGATATATTCAAATTGTTCTTAATAGCCACTAACATGATGCTGATGAAGAACATCAGTACCAAACTCAGCTGTGCCTCGTCTGAACAGCCACACAGGACAAAATGAATTCTAGTTGTCAATTAATTCACTCACCACAATGGAGGATCATAATGATATCTTCTACTCTCTGGTCCTTTTACTCCAGGGTACATAGGGTATTGATACTGTGGGGCAGTCGGGTATGGATGATGATGAGCTGGGTGAAAGATACCTGCTGGTCGTGAGCCATGCCCACGTTGTAGAACATGCTTCATGTCATCTTGTGATGTGGGCACAGGGCCCCCTCGAGAATAACCCGAGTGAGAGCCAGAGTTTAAATGTTCATTGTAACGATCAGGAAAAGAAAGAAGTTGGGCAATTGGTGCTGAACTTGCATCTGACCTTTGTTTAGAATCCTATTTACAAGAAAATCAGAACAATTGATCAGACAGGTAAAGTCTAAGTATGCCCTAAGTGCTTTTACTTAAAGCTAACCCTTTTAAAACTTAGACTTGACCCTTTCTTCCCCAACACGACGCAGTCACTGATCCTCCATACTGTTCTTTATACATTTCTGATGGTACTGGCAGGGTGAGTAATTGCCTCACAATTAAGAGCTTCTTAAAGTGGTGTTGTTTTTTCTATTTTTATGACTTAAGTGTTTGATTCAGCAGTAATGATGTATGGGGAAATTAGATGAAAATCACTCTGGGAGGGGAGGGAAGGGGTTAACAGGAATTTGATTGAGGTTGACAACCTACTGAGAGTAGATAATTTAAAAAAAGCAATTTCACTCCCAAGGGTTTTTTTTTTCTTGAGAATATAGTGTCACAAGCAACATAGATAATGGTACAGTCTCTCAAGCAGTTGCATTAGTACGTATTCTAAAACTTTTTACACAGCTTTCTCTTAAAAAAGTTACAGACTGCACAAAATACACACACACACAAAAAAAAACACATCAAATTTGAATGATTAGTCTAAACAACTTGATGCATTTCCAGTACATTCAGCTAAGGAATGAGATATACAATATAATTTGGTTTTATCAACTGAGTTCATAAAATAATGTAAATTGAGAAAAGCTTATGTTTTGAGTGTAAGCCCCTCGTCAGAGAGAAAGAAATATACACTCTTATACTCCAGAAAAGAGTTTGACTTTGAACAAGTTGAAGGTGTTACGTACACTTCTGGTTGCTGGAGTAATCGCCAATCAACAGTTTGGCAAAGAAAGTGGTTGATTCTAGAGTCAATTAGATGTCAGTCTCATGGCTTTTTTTTTTTTTTTTCATCTTCCTCTGAAAGGTCTGTTTTACTGTAAGTCCCACTTGTGAGAATCATTCAACCAACTAATTTAGCCATTTCTTTTGACTAAGTGAGCTTTCTTTTTTCAGCTGCAAGTATGGTAAACATATTCAACACCCTTTCAAGAATTTAAACAAAACTGGTAAATTCAAGACAAAAATACCACTTTGGCTGACTTCCACTTGAAATGTTGAACCAGCTACACAAAATTATTGAAAGGTTTAAAATATCATTGCATCTACAACCAACACGTTCTAAGTTCTTCTTCAATTTCACTGGGTTAAAAAACTACAGCTACAGGTGCAGGAGAAATTGTGCAAATGCGTTTTTGGAACAAACGTTAGTTTCAAAAGTTCTGAAAGAAAAATGGACAATATAGGTAACATCAAAGAGAAGCCAGAAAATGACAAGTTAATTTACTCGAGGTAGGAGGTGACCAAATTTTAATGAACGTTTCAATTTAATTATATCAAAAAATTTTCAGCTGTGCAGAAGGCGCAATTTCTCGTTACTGAAGTGGTCGGTTCTATTTTAAGTTTAATCCACAGAAATATAAAATCACCATAACAAAATAGAAACATCTTTAGATCGGTGCACAAAACTTCATAACCTTCGCTGGTTAATCGATCAATATCAAAGAAGGCCGTTAAAATGTTTCAATGCAAGCTTTGCAGTTTGTTCGCTCTTCTCGCGTCGCGGCAATTTCGTTATCTGTTTTACAGCCTAGAGCAGATAAAACCAATACTGCCATCTGCCGTTGGAAATATAATTTACAACTAAAAATGGACTGAAATCAATGGACTTGAAAGCGAATGGATTCATTTCAATACACGGAGATTTAGAGAAATCTGCCATTATTAATCGACGATCAACCAGAGGATTTTTATATATGCACAAAAGGGCACATATGACCGAGTTCCCAGATAGCTTAAGGCAACTTTAAGGTGTAAATGAAAAAGGCTTGAAGAGTTTTTGCCCTTCTTAATGGAAGGCAAAACAGTAGATGATATCTTTTCATTTTGAAATAGGTGTTTGGGTGATTTTTTTCAATTAAGCTCTTAACACGCTTTTGAGTTGTTGCTAGCAGGTCTATTGAGAGGAAGTAGTGTGCTCTTCACATAAAACTCGGGCCGAAAATATCACCACGTTTTTTTAACCCTGAAACAAAGGAAGCGTCATTGAGAGCTGATGGGAAGAGCAGCAATTTTACTATGTTCCTAATTCGTTGCCTCTTGAAGCTAGAAAAAAACTTACCGGAAATGCAAGGTACAAGTGCTTTTTTGGAACGTGTGATCAGCACCGCGCGCGAGAGAGAACAACTTGCTCTACAGAATTTCCCGCGAAATCGAACCATTTCGAAGTTTGAAATCCGGACAGATCAGAAAAAAAGTCACGTCAACACACCATTCTGATCTTTTGCAATAATCCTGTACTTTCAATTTTCCACACCAGTGAATCAAGTCAATCATTGTCAAAACCGATTTAAACAACGGAAAAATGCAGCTCTAAACTATAAACGCCTATAACTTCCCTTCATACAGAACCAGCTAGCTTGTTCAGCTCAGTCGGGGTGTTGGAAATTGCTCATTACTGTTTGTCCCGAGTGGACCGAGGCGTTCAATACAGCGTCGCTCCAAAAGTATGTGCCGTTGAAAGCACAACCAGCACGTCAAAATATCAAAACACTTGGACAATGAATCAAAAAGTAACTATACCAAAGAGGAAATTATACTAAAAACCTCACAAAGGAACAAACACTGAATACCAAATAGCGCTGCGCTAAATCACTTAAAATAAGGTCGGCGAACTTTTCTGTGAAAAACTTGAGCTGTGGTACTGAAATCCGATCCTAAGATATAATTACAAGTGTTAAAAAGCCTTTACCTACTATCTAGCCTACGGTAAACCACTAAAGGCACAGTATAACTCCCGAACAGAGGGAAAAACCATGAAATAAACTCAGACTTGTGAAATAGTTTCGAACGATTTACACTTCACAACAACCCGTCGTTTAGATAAATATATGGCCATCGAAACAAGTTTCGTTGCCGAAATTTTCCCCAAGAGCTAGACAATGTATATTTTTTCGAGGCCACTTGGGGCTAGTGGCGGCATCCTTTGATTATTTATACCGCGAAGCAAGAAATTTTAAAATCGGAACAAATAACATACTCCGCTGAGAGACACGTTAACGAAACTTGCGCAAATCTTTGGCCGAGAGCTTGGAACTTCTAGCTTCTAGCAAGAAACTGCAGCAAAAATTATGACGGCATATTCCTTTCGGTAAAAAATAAAAGTTTATTTACTATTTTTCTAAACAATATGATTCTATGGTCGAGACTTTGAGGTCGCCGCTTCCAACTGTCCCCCGATCCAACGAACCAAAGTTGCTTGCAGCAACACCGAAGCGCAAAGCAGAATAGAAGTCGGCCAACTTGCATGAAATAATTAGTCTTGCTTTAACACAGCCTGGCTCAGAAGTAAAAAAATAAAAAGGTTCCCTCACCTCTGAATTTTCGGTCTCCTTTTTGATCAGGTCGGACTTGATATCGTTCACGAGGTCCAAATGCGCACCGTTCTCGGAGTCCTCACCATCTTCCTGCTTATATTCTTTCACTTCATCGTCCGCGCCAAGATCTTCCGTTGAACTGTTGGGTAGTTGAGGCATTTTAGCCTCGTTAGTCGTGGAAAATCCCTCGAGTTTCGCTGCTTCGAATTTATTTCGCCTCGCTGTGTTATGCTGGTATATGAGCTTCAAGAGTCGGCGGCAACTCTAAAGGAATAACATCAAAGGAGGCCGACACTATGATTGACAGTGATTAATCAGGCGATCAGTGAAAGGGGCCAATAAAAAATGAGAAGATCGCCAACGTCATCATAATTATATTTCCTACATTCTTGATGTCAGTCCAGCCCAAGTTTAGCGGCTTTTCTCTTCAAAGTTTCACACCTCTCTCCCTGAAAAATTACAAGTGATTCACACGATATAGGCCAAGCAGGGAAGCGTGGATCTTTGTTGAGAGATAAGGAGTACTTCTCAGCGGACCCCCAACCCTTGTAATGAACATTAAACTCTTTCTGCTTCTATTTGATAATGTGTAATCGCATTTAGCGCTTATAGCCATGCTTAATAGTCTAACCTTTCCCAATGTTAACGTGCGACACAAATGAGCCTTGCTAACCGAATTTTCGCCTAGCAAAGGAAAAGATCTTATTTTGATGTTATGTAGCGACAACGAGCAGATTAAAACTACAGAAGAGAAATTCGCCGCCTTTACGGACGGATGGGGGTAAAATATCGAATTTATCCTTTATATAACGCATGTAGGTAAAACCGGAACTAGCTACTCTGTTTACCTGTTGTCTTATGCGTTCGTTGAGCCCACTCGTGTTGCTAATAAACAGGAAACCAAAATGACTTAAATACCAGAGAATTCACGAATAACTGTAGAAGTAAAACCTTACAAGGTTCCAGCTGCAGAGCAGAATCAGAGCTTGATTTGCTATAAAACTAGATATTTTTTCCTAATTGGTACCCAGATATAACAAGATTCACAGACAGATGGAAGCCTTCGTCATGATATCTAGTTTGAACAGTTTAAAATAGAAATGTTAACCAGGAAATCTTGTTGGAAAGTTTTTGCAAAAAACCCTTTTAAACGAGATCAAAATAATTCGATAGTCTTGAGCATTACTCTCCAACAATTGGGTTCCACTAGACATGAAAATCCTTTCATCGTCCTTTAAGATATAAATGCTCATCTTCTCTTGACCAATATTTTGCTCTTAAACTCACTAAAACTCTAATTTCTGCATTACTCCCTGCTTTGAGTGTTTGGCAGAGCTATTAAGACCAATTATAATCAAATCAAAGATATGTTTATGTCTGTGAAAATGTCTAGCCTTGTACTTTGCTAAATCGTTGTGAGAACGTACTGCGATATCCCTGCCTAAGAACACGCCGGCTTATTTCAAAACTAATCCTTCAAACATAAGAATTAAAACATCTCAAGACTCAAGGTAAATATTTCTTAAATGTTCCAAGTTTTTGTATTTCAAAAGATGAGGTAGTAGATTTTTCTGGGCTGGTTTTTTTTTTCCCGCCGCGTTGAGGTTACCCCAACCTCCCCTCCCCTGTTAAAAAGTGCGCATAATTTCTTTGATGAGAGCGTTCCATTGTTCCTTCAATGATGTTAGCCAAGGTTGGACACATCAAAGGGGCCGCCACGTCTCGTAAAAACGTAATTACTAAAAGTGTCAACTTCACTTTAAGAGGGTTCCAGTGGTCAGGTGAAGCAGTGCTAAATAAACACTTACATTACCGTTAACAATGCCTTCTACGTACTTGCTGCACAGAAAATGGTCTATTAAAGTTTTAAAACTTAATTATTGCAGCTACGCTCGTATTTGGCTTACCAAAATTTTTCTTGACCGCGCGCGACGCGTGTAAAACGCGTACTACGTGAGATTACGTGGGAGGAAGTCAGATTTCGTTCTTCAAGGGTACCACCCGTTGTTTTCCGTAGCTGCCTGCCTGTCGCCTCACAGCGTGTAAATACGTGATATTGCTCAAGTTATTTGTTTTTAAATAGGAGCGTTTATCAATAGGGCTATTTTCCCAACCTAAATCATAAAGAGACAAATAATATCACTTTGAAATAAGAAAAACAGGAAATCGGCCTAACCACATCATTCGTTGCCGCTGTCCTCGCTACGTTGCACCGACTCTCAAATTTACGTACACAATCACCTCGAAAAATATCTCAACTTTTAAAAGAATATCAACAACATTTAAGATAATTTCAATTAAAGGAAATGTTCAAATCATCGGATATAATAAACAAAAACGGTAACAGGGATTGCGTCAAAATATTTTAACCAGGCGTTGAAATTTTATCATCTTCCCTCAGAAAAAACAACAGAGGTTTCACCAAAAAAAAATGTTTGTTTATTTTTGGATCAAATAAAATCTATTCCCTGATCGCCTCTTACGAAAACGTTTTTTTCATTCAATTCCAATGCGGCTAATTGCCTTCGGAAGCCATATCATTTTTCTGGAGAGCGTGTTTTATTATTTTCAGTGGAAATGAAGAATCTGCAATATACACCGACAGCCCTGTGTCGGTAAAATTAAGCGCGGTATACCAAAGACAGTCCTAATTTTCCGGTCTTACAGCCAAAGACAAACAAACTGCGCAGAAAACACTGTACTATGACACAAATAATTCATCCGGAGAAAACCCACCAAACTAATCCTAAATAAAAAAAGTTGATTGATCAACGTAAATGACGAGGATTAGAACTTTCTCTCGCATATTAGCACTTAGATAATCGACATGTGGGTTTTTGTCGTTACGCAATTAAAGAATGTTCTTTTAGCAGCGCGTGAACTATCTTCAATATTGTTATGATTGTACCACCATGCCATCATATTTTCAATTACGTTCTTCGGTGGATACATTGATAGCAGTTTTGCTGAAAAAAAAAAAGAGCCGGGTGATGTTCTGTACGTGTAAGCGGTTTATTTTTGTTATTGTCATCTTTCAGTGTTTTCCTTGCAAAAGGAATTGAATTTTTTAGAACTGTGGAATTCTCGTGGTTTCAGACCAAATACAATATCAGAAATTGCGACAAGAAATACACGGATTTAAGAGTTATTTTTTAGTTAGGCATGAAAATAAACTATCCGATAATACTCAAAATTATTCCGTGCTAAAATCTACTTTGTAAATTGAAATAAAATGATTTGACTAAAAAGTGACCAAGGTGTTTTGCAAACACTGGAAAATCCAGTTTTCAATTCCTAAGATTTGTTAAACTTCCTCAATTTCGAGTTTCCCTCAAAAAATGGTCTGATATAACCTTGACTTTTTCTTTTAATAACGCGTTTTTTCAGCAATTTCGTTTCAGTGAAATTAACAAAAAAAAAAAAAACTACAGTTTTTCTTCTTTCCCACGTCCGCGACGAACAAAAAGCGTTCCCTGTCAAAGAACGCTCGTAGTCCTTAAAACTTAGTGAAGCTTATGTTCGAATCTTTCCTTAATAAAAACATGATATGAAAAGCAAGTTCCAGCGAAATGCGGAAGTTGTTCTGGTAAATAAGAAATCGAAGAGCAGTTTTTTTATAAATTTGAATAATTATTTTCGCTCGCATTTAGACTGTTGTCGGTTTTCATTTCTTGAAATATAGGATACAACCTGATTAGCATGATTTTTTTCCTTCCTTGTTCAAATGGCGTAGCGTGAAAAAAATTTTAGACATTGAACTAATAAATAATAGTGATTAATTCGTTGTCGGGTGCTATATTTTTAAGCCAGATTACGCGCTGTGTTCAATGTTTCTTTAAAAAGAAAAAAAAAGGTCTAAACACAGAGATGATGTTTCGATTCAGGATACATGGTAGAAACTAAATCAGACAATTCCGAACCGTGACGTTGTCTTTTAATCGACTAACAAAAATTGTTAATGTTAAATTAATTAAAATTATTCCAGCGTCTACAACTTCTCTATATTTCATTTTACCCCAACTCATTTTCTCCTCTCACGAGTAATTATCCTCCAAAATGTTAACCAAACGAGCCAGTATTTCAAGGTCCGTTCACCTTAAAAATTTTAGCCCAGATTTCTGAAGTTCTTTATTTATAATGTTTTTATTCGCTCTCTCATAACTGATTTCGTTTCTTTTTGTTACATCTTTAATAGTTTGGGTTGGTCCGCTAACCAAATCTATTCAAAGTACACTTCTTTATCATGCATTGACGTGACTCAAAATCCTGGTCGTGACTCAGTTCCAACGGGTCTCCTTCGTTTTCTCTCTGTGAACCCTGGTGGTGACTAGCATCTAATTACCTCTAAAAAATGTCACCCCTGAATCATACATTTTGATCACGAGAATGAAGGAAATGATCACCAACTAATTTAGGAAGCTCAAGTTGATTATTAAACAAATTCTCCTTGTTCATACCCTGGTAAATTTATAGATAGAAACAGTATGGAGAATATGCATTCTGATGTTAGGGTGTGAGTGTTAGATGATCAATCTAGCTGAAAAAAATGCCATCTTTTGACTAATTCTGAATTTTAGCAATCAACTTTGGCTTAGGATCTGCTTATTTCTCCTTAGCAACGTTTTACGCTTCTGCGCGCATGTAGAGTACTTTGCGAATTTCCACAATCGATTATCAGATTCATTTTTTGAACTGCAACGAACTGTATTTGAAGAAGAGAGTCTGATTTTTTTAATATGGAAGAATTTATCTCCTTTGAATCGAATTTCTCGTGATTCAGGAACTGTAGCAATTCAACAATCCCATTGATAACCGAGTCGAACTTGCTGTAAACATTCTATTTACAGCACACCAGTGGCGGATCTAAGGGAGGGCGTTCGGGGAATTGGGTCCACCCCCCCCCCGTTTTTTTAGGTAAAAAAATAAACGTAGAGGGAAGAAAAGCCGGCGGGTGAACACACACAAACAAAAATGCCCCTCACCCCTCAGATGACCGTGCATTGAACTATATACATAATGCTAAAAATGTTCCTCATTAGGTATGTTAGTTTGCATGCCTCTTCAAAACCAATGACATTTAATGGATTACAACTCGTTAATTGTCACACCACAGGTGAGACTTGCGTCATAAGTCACGGTTCAGTATAAGTCAAAATATTTCAAGTTTGATGTCTGTAAATCTCTTCGATCGCGACCCCGATCTGTTCCCGGCCCGGTTCATTCTAGTGCTTTTCATTCTAGTGCTTTTCAAC